GACAACCAAGAACTAAACCTCTACCAGGATGGAAAATCAAGAACTAAACCTGGATTTATACAAAAGGAAGAATTAATTGTGCTGCTTCCTCTATAAACCACGTTATAACAGAAGGGGGGATTAATAAAAACTAAGTGTCAGACAGGTCACAGGGGTTCAGGGGTTTCATTGGTTCAAATCTTCAGATCACAGACACAGCTTTAAAATTAGTTTCTCAACCACCTCTCTACAGAGACCTTTAATATAATATTTTTAATGAAAGTACACGATTTAAAAAGGAGGAGGCATCAGCGGGTTCTTTGGTCTTTTCATTGTAGAAGAGAGGTCAAGAACTAGCAGAAAAAAACTTAAACAATGAAGAGGAAATGAAGTGCTGGTCTAACGTGCCAATGTAATGGTATTTGCAAGGACAGTAAAAAAAGAATAAAAAGCCAACTGTATCCATTTTTAGTGAAGGAGTTACTACAGATTTCTAACTAACCTAGAGCCAGCAGCGTTGGAAGCATACCTAGGATGACACAAGCTATTCCAAAAAGCTTACCACATCAACCTAAGATAAAATTCAACATTCAGGGAAAAAAGTCTGAAAATAAATTGAGGGAAGATAGGGAAAAAAGTGGAAAGAGCAATAGCTGCGCAGGTTAGCTAAACAAAATAATTTGCTTTAAGTGATTTCTCTAATTTTTATTTACATGAATTAGAAAACAAATGTGAAACTCTTCCTTAGCTAGTTATTATCCTCAAGCCAAGTGTATTTCAAAGCTGCACTATAGCAGAATATTGCACTTCCATTGACACAGCAGAAACCATGTAAAAGAGGGAAAACCTGGAGTTAATAACTATAAATTTTGACCTTTGGGGAGAGAACTAACAATCAGGAACATGAGTTGATTGCATTTATATTACTGTAACTAAAAATACTTTCACCTCGAGGAACTTGCTGAGCCTTCAGCGCTGAACTTAAAACAACCACTAAACATATATAAATACATAAATACATGCTCTTCAACATATGTTCTTGACATCTTGGTGAGTCACTATTTGTGTGCTTTGTTCACCAGAAAAACTTCTCTTACAAATCAAACAGAATGCAACAAATATAGGTTATACTCGGAGTATAACAGTTAGTATGAAAAGAAGGATGAAGCCAAAATTCAACTTGAAAGCTTGCTTAATTTGAAAGCTGCTTTCTTAAAAGAAGAACTTCCACACTGTGCCAGATTGGAAAATGTTTTAAATTAGTTCTTTTTTTACCTCCCTCTTGCAGTATTTCCAGGTGCATGTCAGAGACAAGCGTTCAGCATTACAGACGGCTTGCTGTCCTGCTTGACAATGTAAGAAAACAAAGCAAAGCCGTAACTCCCTTAAACAATCGTACCATCATATTTTCCCTACCACAATCACCAGAAAACAGCAAAAACAAAACAGCAGAGTTTCAAAAGCACCGTATTTTACAATAGTTCACATATATATAAATCCACAATAAAACACAAATATCAAACAGCAAAACACTTCCTAATAACAGGAGGCAGTAAAAATATATTCCTTAGGAGAAAGCTAATCGAGCTGAACTCTTTCAAGTTCATTTTCAAATTCACACATTACCAAAGACAGGCCCAGACTTTTCCCACCGCTACTTCTTGACCCCTAACTCTCTCTGAAAAACTTATTTCCAATAATGCAACAGAATTCTGCAGCCTCTCCATGAAACGATGTATCTCAAGTCCTAGCTGTAAACCTAAGTAGCCATTCCAAGTATCTATTTGCAAGTATATACAGTAGCTAGCCACATTAGAATACATGCATTAAGACAGACAAACTGCTTCGGATGTGGACTGTCTCTTCCTAAGCATTTGCGCAGAAATAATGCAATTGCACCCTGAACCTCTGCAGCATTAAGGGCATTAAAAGACATACCAAAATTGAATTTATTGTCTTTCGCAAATTCGTAGGGATCCCATAAAAATCAGGGCGGGGAGAATTTCGCAAAGCTTTTTAATGAAATAAATGAAAATATTTCTCTGCAATTCCAAAGAACTCACTTAAAAGTTTTTACGTAATGCCGAAGCTGAACACTACAGCAGAAATACATAAGCACAGAAATCAGAAGACAAAAATGATTACATACAATCAAAAACATGTTCCAAGGCTCAAAGCATGCCCAATGAAAGAAGGTCAAAAAAAAAAAAAAAAGATCATCACAGTATAGCATTAAGTTTTAATTTAAATTATATATAAATTTAAACATAAATAAAAATTCTTTCTTTTGAGGGCATTTTTAAAAATAAAGTGAGAACTGCATTTTGTGTGACACTTTTCTACAGGAAGTTTTAAAAAGATATAAAAGCATATTGTGTTAGCAGCAATGTTTAATACTGCATAAACACTGAGTTAGGACTTTAATTAAAAAGAATTACTAACACAAATATTCAGAGAGTAATTGCAGTTTTTTAAGAGCAGAAGCATCATCTGAGTTTGGTGCATTACTGTTACGGACCCTTCCCTTCCCCTTGGTAACAAAGGCCAGAGGAATTTAGAACAACTTTGGAAATAATAAACCCACCCAACTCTGAAACCCGCCTGACATCAATTTTCTGTCTAGCAGGAGATTTTACAACACTCTTGAAAACAGGGCTAAGAAAGTTTCTTGTAATGGAAACTCTGACAGACCAAGAACTGTAGTTATGCGAAGGAGCTATCACTGTAATAGTCTTTCCTTTCCTTCCTGTCATACTGAAATTTCCATTTTATTCTTCATTTGTCATTCTTTTCTGTAAAGGTAGTCGCTTAATTAAAGAAACTAAGGGGATTTTTGCAACCTACCTTCTAGTTTCACACTTTTTTTTTTTTTTTTAAATTTTTCATGTTCTCACTGATTTGTCTTTTCAGCCTTAGCTGGTGACTTTACATGGAAGCTTCAGACAGTTGAACTGAAAAATGTGGGTTCAGCTGCTTAAATTTATAATGGAAGTTTTATTTCCCAAGACTATTACTGCAAGAGTATGAACTCTTTGATTTTGATTACAATCAAATTTAATGAATGACAGGAAAAAAAAAAAAACAACCCACTACTTAAACTTATTAGTGTACCAACAAAAACTTGCTACAAAGTATCTAAAATTTGAATATTTCTTTGAGTTTTCGACTGTGTAAGAATACAGACAAGCACATCGAATACAACAGTCTTCATCAAAGAAAAACTGCAGGATCTTGCTCTGACACATACAAAAGTCAGGTTTGAACTCATTTAGACTCTTGAAAATTATCACTTCCGAAGCATTTAAAAATAAATCAAGCTGCTCTATTGCTATGACTCCTGGTTGTATTCACGCATGGCGCTTGGAGGAAGATGAGACTGAATTCAGATTTGCAGCTAGCTTTATAAAGATGAATCCTCACCAGACAAAACGATTCCTAGCTAACTAGAATTATGATGGTAGAAGGAATTCTGGCCACAGAATACTGGAAATGAACTGCCATACCAAATTGGATCTGTGGCTCAGATCAGTGGATCGCGGCCAATTTGAGCCACTAGCTGCCTGCCTGGAAGACGGGAGAAAATCGACCCTGTGCAAACTGTGAAGCTTAAGACAGATAACGATAATTTAAATGCAGCCCCAATTATTTTCTGTATATGAATGGAAATCTCTAATGAACATTAAAGAATGCCTTAGCTAGGAACCACTGAGCTATCCTAAATGGGATCCAGGAAATGCCATTCCACTACTGACTGAGGACTATAGCACCATGCTGGACATGATGAGTAGCAAAAAACTGGAGAATATCTACAGAATCCAGAATTAACATCTTGGGACACAGAGGAATTTGTATACAATATTCATAGTAAAACCACGGTTGCATGCTTACCTTGAGGCACGCAACATTTTCACTACATGCGTCTCTCTGCAAGCTTCTACTTGCAGAAAGAAAAAGATTTATTGCAACATCTTTAAAAGGCATCATTCTTTTACATTCAGTTTCTCAAAGGTTTAATTTCAAGAAGTATCAACTAACATCAACTTTCACAAAAATACCACAGAATCCATCATTTCACCAACTACTATGTAAAAGCACCATTCAGGATAGTCAAATATGCTCTAAAGCATTAGCAAATAACCATTAAAAAATGTAATGAAAGAAACAACCAAAAGGCTAGCTAATGAGTACACAGTGTACATCTGCAGGTGAAACGATGGAGAAGAAGGTGGGGGAAGAGAGAGGGACAACAAAAAGCCTTATCCTAATTAGGTAAACGTATGACCTAGAAAAAAAAAACCAACCCTAGTTGGGCGTGGTTATTTTATGATTAAACGCTAAATAACGATAAGAATTTGGCAAAAATACAGCATATGTGAGAATACAGCATATCATGTTCGGGCTTTCATGTATATAGCTATCTTCCATTACAGCAGCTTTCAATTTCTCAAGGTTAGCAGAATTTATTAAATCGGTGATTCTGTAGGGGTGGATTTTTTTGTAACGAAGTATTGCATAAGACAGAAAAACGCTGCCTGTCCTAAAATATAGTTCAAACCAAAGGTCCTCCTAAACATACAGTGTATGAAAATTAAAAACAGGGAGTTTGGGTTATGAAAAGAAGCCATATGACTAAAAAGTGAATCCATTTTCCAAAACGCCCACACAGACAAGAGCTTCTGATGTGAAATTGGTCTCTGCAAAAGCTAAATTGCACAGATTATTTTCATGAAAAGTTAGAAGCTGCACTACATGCAGATTATATGACATTTACTGTGATGAGATTTAAAAACCCCCACTTTCTGTGTTATTGCAGTATGAACAATTACTTGATTGTTCAATGTATATGATATAAATACCAATAGTTATTTGATTGAATAATTGTCTTCCTTTAGAATTTACATAGGCAGAGATGCTCGCTTAGTTTTTCCAGGCTTGTTTCCTTCTTCCTGCAGGCAAGTTTTGGCTGCCTTCAAAGTAAGATGCAACAACGCGCGCTAGCCAACAAAGCATTTGTGGCTTACCTTGGCACTGAAATCCTTGTTTCCCAAATCCCCTGCATAAAAAAAAAGAAAAAAAAAAGTCTTGGTATGTTTAGTTGTAATTTCTTCTCAATGATCTATAAGAACATAAAAATAACTTCATACTAGATTACTTCTGATTTTGCTAATACAGCAACAGATTTTAAAATACACAACACAGAACAGCCCACCCGTTTCAGAGCAGAGAACAATAGCTGTCACCAGCTATGTAATTTCAGCTTCTGGCAACAATTTTTTTATTATTATTATTTTACAAGCTATCTTGGATCTACAATTATCATCATCTGTGATTACTGCATAATATTTCAACTCATTTAATGTCACATGTATACTTAACAGCAATGTAAAATATTCCAAGTTCTAGCACAGGCGTATAAAACAAACCAGACTTAGTTTTTCATCCAAATTTTAGGATTTGCGTGCCAACGCTGCTACGCGCCTCGGCTAGACAGTAGTCATTTGTTGTATGGAAAGGAGGCAGGTTAAAGGTTTTGCTTGTTTCAATATAAACGAGGAGACAGGCCCCTTGGTTTTGTACTGATTGTTCTTCCAGCTTCCTGGCTTCATTTCCATAACAAAATACAAATGTGCGTGTCAATCCTTCACCAGTGAATACAGGGCCACACAGGCCTTCTCCGTGGTGTCCAGAGTCCCAACATATATTATACCTCTGGCAAATTGCGCTGTCGTTGGTTTTATTTATTTGTTTATCTTGAAACAATCAACATTCTCTTTCCGCAAAAATAAATGTTTTGAGTATCCTCCCTGTAAACATTTCTCTGCATTTTCCCTCTTTTCATCTGGAGAGCTGGAGACAATGCTACAAGACAAATGAACCAAAGCCATGAACTGTAGAAGCCAGCCAGTAGGCTGCACACAATTAACAACATGAAGTTTAATTATGAAGTTTGTGGAGATTTTTTTTTTTTTTTAAATTATGTCAATTTTGCCACTTTATTTATTTATTTAGAGATGGGACAAAACCTTTAATACACCATTACTTCATGTGGAAACAGAAATTTCGAGCACTTCCATAAATTTCTACGCAACAGTCTCTACCTGTTGTTGTTATAAATAGGCCTAAACCGAGAGAAATAGAAGAAATATAAAATTGTTTGTTTACTTGGCAGCATATGTGACTGCACTATGCTGTCATTCTGCTGCTGCTCTCTCGTCTTCACAAAAGTAAAAAGCATGTGCTGGAAGCGTGCAAATGCAACTGCAGGAAAGCTGACAGCAGGACTAAGAACATGAAACAGACTTTAGATAATTTTTCATCCTTTTAAACAAGACTTACTTGTAAAGAACATTCCTGTATTATCTACTCTAAAAGCACAGTCATTCGTCAGCATTTGAGCGGAATTCATCTACTAACCAGCTGCAGTCCACTCTGCTCCCTCATCTATTTGAAGTAAAAGGTCTTAAAAAAAAAAAAATACCAACACTTAAGAAACAAAGCAGATAGGTGGAAGTTGTTTAAGAAGATAAGGAGGCACTAAGCGATTTCAGTAAATACTACCTGGTCAGACCTAACCTAAGAAAACAAATCTATTTCGTAGTTCATTGAAAGGTAGTATTTAGTATTTACTATTTACTATTCTTTATACCTTAAAACATGTTTATTGCTAAGTGTCACACAGGAAACAGACAAAGCAATTTTTACAGGCTATGATGCAAGAATTGCCCATCTTCATATGAGGAAATTAAAGTTTTTGAGTTGTCACATACTCATTTGATGAATGTTAGGAGCTTCCTTACACTCCCTGGCAAGATGAGATAGGAGAGCACAGCTCCTCTTCCCACCCGCCAGCTACAGGACACCCCTCCACATCCATCCTGTCAGCAGGTGCCTTTTCTCATGACAGTATTCCACTTTGTTTTTCAGTTGTGCTAGTTACCTGCACAAACACAGTCTGACAACAGCCCTGCAGCATTCTTTCACACCTCCCAATTCATTCTGCTGTAGATTACCTTTTGAACCAGTTTGTGGAGGTGTCTCACTTTTACAGTACTAAACCACGCTTTTTTTTTTTCCAAATAGGAAAAAAGAATTAAAAAAAAAGAAAACCACTCAAGAGTTGACTTGTTTCTCCTTATTTCTTCTGCAGTCCACCCATCTCAGCTTTCCTCCCGTTCCCCCCTTACGCTGCAAATATATTCCAATCATTTCTGGAGCAACCCCAGCCTTTTCTGCAGCATGCAAACAGAGGAGAACTCAAGAAGGAAGGCAAAGGTCTGTGCCCAGACGCGTAAGCGCAGATGAAAAGAGCAAGACACCTGCCACAGACACAGAGCCAGCTGGGTGCAGACCCGTTTAGATCTTTTGCAACTTCAGCTAAAATACATCACAGCTCTCGTTTTCAGCAACAAAACCGGCGGTGAAAACTCCAGCAGCAGAGCAAGGCTGAAACTAAGCCACATCTCAGGTAAAGGAGAGGAAGCAAAACTTGCTTCCATCGCACGCCCGCCGACTGCACCGGCTGGGCCTGCCCAGAAGAGGGCACGGCAGGAACTGGTAAGTGTTTTTCCCTCATAGCTTAGTAATGAGGGTGTTGGTAGGAAGTTTTCCTCCCTTCCTCCCCTCTCTCTCGCAGGAGCCCTTCTCTTAAAAAGCCGCTCCCTCCCCCGAACGGGCGCAGGCAGCAGCAGTCACCCCGCGTTCCCCATCTCCCTGCCCTCCCCCGGCAGCAGGAGGAGACAGAGCAGGCACCGATCACAAAGTTAAAGGCAGGGCTGCAGAAGTTGGTGCCACACAGCAACACCCGCACTCGGGAGACGGAAACCCCATCCGTTCCCACCGCTGCAGCGGCCGGGCGGGGCGGGCGCC